AGAATAGCAGGAAAGGAATAAGAGGATGGCACAGAATGGGAAGGGATGGGGTGGAAGCAGGATGGATGGGATGGGATGGGATGGAATGGGCATTCCCCACGGGTGCCAGATGAATAAATGAACTTCCCCCTCCTGGATTTCCCCGGTCTCCAGGCAGGGCTGGTGCTGTCTCCAGCCCGGCTGATGTTAAGGATCCCATTCCAGGGGGGAACAGCCGCCCTGTGGCTCCTTGGAGACCGGCTCGGAACCTGCCGAGGCTGGGGCCAGAAACCATGTTGGCTTTGGGACGAGCCCAGGGAAATTCCCGCTCGGGAAATTGGGAAATCCGGCTCCAGCCCTGGGTGATCCCGGCCCCTCTCCTGGCCGGGGTCACCCAAGGTCCTGAGGAGTGACATGGAGCGGGGACTTCGCTCCTGCGCCCCCGGGGCAGCAGGGACGCTGTTTCCAAGGAGCTGCGGGGTTCCAGGAACTGCTGGATCCCCCAAAGATACGGGAATCCTGGCGATTTCACTCCGTCATCCCAGAGCATCGCTCCTGCCTTTCCCCCGGGCAGGGATGCAGCGGGGAGAGGCGCTGGGAAGGTGGGAAATCAACCCCAGCTCCGCAGGAAAATCCAGCATCACATTCCACCCGCAGGAAGGGAGGGACCCGCGGGATTGCCGCCCCTGCCCGCCTCCAGGCGGGGAAACTGAGGCACGGAGGAGGCTGTGCCACAGCAGGGACACGGCGTTTCCCAAACGTGCTCCGTGCCGGGATGAGCGGGAGATGGGGCAGGGAATTCCCTCCCCTTTCCATCCTCAGCAAACCCGAGAGCCTCTGGATTTTACAGAGGGGTTTTGGGCTTCTTTTTCCCTGGAAATCCATGGAGCAAAGCACCTGGGGGTCCCAGCAATATCCTCTTCTGGGTGAAAAATGACCCCTCCTGTCACTCAAGGGCTCTGTGGGGGTGAGTTTCCCCCACCTGGAAATTTAATTTCCTCCATTTCTCCCACTCTTTCCCCATTCCCAGCTCACCTCTGCGTGTTGGTGGTGAGGGCTGCCCCATCCCCATCTCCATTCCCACACCAGGACCCTGATTTTGGCACTGGGGATGCTCAGAAATAAATCACCTTTATTCCCTTTGGGATCCCACCTGGAGAGGCAGAACGGAGAACAGGGTGGGGGCAGGATGGGGATTTTTTAGGAATTCATTTTCCTGGTGTTTTGTGTCCATGCAAGGGCATTTTCTGGGAGACAGGAGAGGCCTCTGTGTGTGTTCAAAATGCCTGGGGCTGCTTCAGGAGCGTGTTTGGGGTGTGAGATTCGGGCTGATCCTTAAACCTTTGATTGTCTGTTTTTGGAGTGTTTATCCTTAAAAATCAGCCCTGGAAGTGGAGCAGAGCTCTGGGTTCCCTGCAGCCTCCCAGGTCTGGATTTTCCTCATTTTTGGGGGTTAATTTTCAGGAATTAATCCCTGGTAGCCAGGCTGAGGATGGAGAGAAGCTGCCAGGAGGTGACAACCCTGTCCCCAGCTCCTGACAGGGCCCTCACCCACCTGGGGGTGATTTTGGGGGTGATGCCAACCTCTGATTAATCCCTAAAATCAACCCCCAAAAACGAGGCAAATCCAGACCTGGGGGGCTGCAGGGAGCCCAGAGCCCTGCCCCACTTCCAGGGCTGATTTTTAAGGAAAAACACTCCCAAAACAGACAATCAAAGTTTTAAGGATCATCCTGGATCTCACACCATAAACACACTCCAGGCTTTTGGAGCTGAAGCAGCCCCAGGCATTTTGAACACATCCAGAGGCAGCTCCTGTCTCCCAAAAAATACCCTTGCATGGACACAAAACACCAGGAAAAGAAATCCCTAAAAAATCCACATCCTGCCCCCGGCCTGTTCTCCGTTCTGCCTCTCCAGGTGGGATCCCAAAGGGAATAAAGATGATTTATTTCTGAGCATCCCCAGTGCCAAAATCATTCCTGGGGTGGGAATGGAGATGGGGATGGGGCAGCCCCCACCACCAACATGCAGAGGTGACCTGGGAATGGGGAAAGAGTGGGGGAAAATTGGGGAAATTAAATTTCCAGGAAAGACAGGAGAATTCCCAAATCCCAAATCCCACCAGGGGGTTCTCCCCTTATCCCTGTATCCCAAATCAGCCCGAATTTCACCCGGCTGATTTTGGGGTGTGCAGGAGCAGGGGCACAGCACCATCTAGTGCTGCAGGCGCCGAGGAATCACCCAGCTGGAAAAGCAGGGGCAGGAAATCCCTGCAGCTTCCCCGCCCTGCTCTGAATTCCCAAAAAAAAGGAGGGCAGCTTCATTTTGGGAGCTGGGCTGTGCTTGGGAACGGCTCTGGCCTCGGGGTGGGAGGATTTGGGGGAATTTGGGGGCGATCTGAGCAGGGATGGGGCTGCAAAGGAGCAGAGAAGAAGATTTGGTTTGGTGAGGGAGGAATGAGGAGAAAATGCCACATTGCAGCCGTGGGGTGTGAAGCTGTGGCTGCTCCCCTTGTAGGGTTTTTGTGGGGGGGAAAAGAGGCAAATGTGGCTTTTGAGGGATGTTTGGGGGGTTCTTGGCATCAAATCTGGGTGTAAGAGAGGAGACTGTGTCCTTTAGGGGTCCCTTGGCTCTGAGGCTGGGAGTAGAAATGGGAAAAGTGTCCTGTGGGTTCCTGTGCAGCGTTTGTGCGAAAAGTGGCACCTGTCCCCCTGTCCCGCTGTCCCCCTGTCCCCCCTCACATCCCCAGGGCATGCCAAGGGCTGCCCACCCCCTGAATGAGACCCCAGTGCTGGATTTGGGATGAAGGAGCTGATAAAGGGAAATTCCCTCTTGGACACCAAACCTCGATGCTCTTTGCTGCAGGAGCGTTTTGGGGCAGAATTTTGCGCCTTGGGATGGGACAGAGCGAGAGCAGAGCCCCAGCTGCCAGCGGGGGATCCCATGAGGGTTTCCCCTTCTTTTCCAGAGCAAACTGGTGAAGTATTTCAGCCGGCAGCTGTCCTGCAAGAGGAAGGTGGCCCTGCAGGAGCGCAATGCCAAACTGGAGGGGTTCCCCCAGCTCCTGCACTGGTTCCGCATCGTCGACATCCGCAAGGAGGTGATGGAGGTAAGGGCTGGCCAAGGGAAAAGGGAGGGAGCCTTTCC